ACGCAGTTCTATTGAACATGCAATCATTCAATGCGTACGCCAGATATCAAATTCTTTTGAAAATTCTCAATACACACTTAGTATTTTTATTGACCTTTCAAAAGCATTTGATACAATTGATCATACCATCTTCATAAACCTAAGTACTATGGAATAAATGACAGAGTAATAAAGTGGTTCAAAAGTTATATATCAAAACGAAAACTATGTTTCCAGTAATGATGTTTATCAAAGAATTTATTACATATAACTTGTGGTGTTCCGCCAGGCTCTACATTAAGGCCACTTCTTTTCTTAATTTATATTAATGATTTAAATAAAGTTTCAAATCTATTTAGTATTATGTTTTCGGACAACACTAACCTATTTTTGTCTAATAATGATATTTGTAAACTTTTTTCTACAATAAATGACGAGCTTAAAAACATTTCTACCTGGTTCAAATGCAACAAATTAACAATAAATATTATTAAAAAAAATATGTTATTTTCCGCTCGCTTATAAAAAAGCGTCATCTACTCATAAAACTGCCTCTAATTTTTATTGACCACATTGAGATTAAAAGAGACTGTGTTATAAAGTTTTAAGGAGTTTTACTGGATGAAAATATCACATTGATTACATTTGTACCAAAATTTCTAAAAATAATGGAATTTTGTATAAAACCAGAGATTATTATTTAAATAAAAAAAGTTAAAAAGAGTTTGTCTCAACTTTTACTCTTTTATGCAAATATTTTCTGGGGAAGTACTAATAAAAATAGATTGAAACGTCTTTGTAACCGTCAGAAGCACGCAATTCTTATTATTAATTTAACCAAATTTTTTGTCGAACCAATTTAATCAATTTTGAACAACGTATCTATAGTACATAAGTACGTTGTTCATGGAAAGAATAAAACTTTTAAATTTAGCTAATAGTAACATTCTAAAGTTGTTAACCTTCTATTATTACAAAGCAAATCATTTTGTTTATATCAAGTCGTTTTACTTTGTTTATATATATTTTTTGTATTAGTCTATATACTTTATAAAGTTTTTTTTTTCATCATCGTAAGAATACTATTCATTTATTTTATTTCGTTATTTTAAGAAGTTTATTTGCGCATTAAAAAAAAAAGGCTTATTTAAGGTTCTGACGACAAGATTTTCGTGATCTTCTTTCAGTTACCTTGTTTATATTGTTTATCGTTGTAAATTTGTGAAAGGTAATTGTAATTGTTTATATAGTTTATCATTGTAAATTTGTGAAAGGTAATTGTAATTGTTTGTATAGTTTATCATTGTAAATTTGTGAAAGGTACTTGTAATTGTTTATATAGTTAATCATTGTAAATTTGTGAAAGATACTTGTAATTAGTATTTTATTATTGTTATTATTATCACTTTATAATTGACATTGATATATAACAACGACAAACTAAAACAAACAAAAAAAACAACTACGGATTGTCAGGCGCCCCTTCAAGCTTGGCGCCCAGGTCAATTTGTTCCTTTTGCCCCTCCCTCTTGAAGGCCCTGTTCTATTTCACACCAAGCACAAGCATACTTACCGCCATAAGACTATCATTTGTTTTTATTTTTAAAAAAACTTTAATTTAAAGTTACATGTTAAATTATTTTTAAATCATGACATACTAAAATTCCTATAAGAATATAAAATTATTTTCAAATCAGCTGCAAAAAAATATTTACAATATTCTAGCTGTAAAATCTAATAAAATTGCTAAATTTCTGTGTGTCTCCCACATGTTGTCACAATATGCAATAACCACAGAGTAGTTAATTCCAGAGTATGTTCTGTGAGAACTTTGATTTTTGCATCGTTAATTGAAAATACAAACAAGGTCTCTTAATACATTTGTTGACTTGTTCTTTTTTCTTTTCTTCTACAATAAGTGTGTTTACATCATAAAATTCAGATAGGATTATACTTATTTGGTAAAGTTTGCTTCAAGATTTGCCTCAAATTAAATTTTCCTTAAGAATTTCTGAAGGATGTGTGATTTGAATTGACTTAATCCAATTTGAATAGTTCTAATGCTAGTTTCTTCAAATTTGATTTTCCTAGTAACTATTTGAGAAACGCCAATAGTTATACGTAATGACAACCCACCTGAATACGTAATGACAACCCACCTAAATACGTAATGACAACCCACCTGAATACGTAATGACAACCCACCTGAATACGTAATGACAACCCACCTGAATACGTAATGACAACGCACCTGAATACGTAATGACAACCCACGTGAATACGTAATGACAACGCACCTGAATACGTAATGACAACCCACCTGAATACGTAATGACAACGCACCTGAATACGTAATGACAACCCACCCGAATACGTAATGACAACGCACCTGAATACGTAATGACAACCCACCTGAATACGTAATGACAACGCACCTGAATACGTAATGACAACCCACCTGAATACGTAATGACAACCCACCTGAATACGTAATGATAACCCACCTGAATACGTAATGACAACCCACCTGAATACGTAATGACAACCCACCTGAATACGTAATGACAACCCACCTGAATACGTAATGACAACCCACCTGAATACGTAATGACAACCCACCTGAATACGTAATGACAACCCACCTGAATACGTAATGACAACGCACCTGAATACGTAATGACAACCCACGTGAATACGTAATGACAACGCACCTGAATACGTAATGATAACCCACCTGAATACGTAATGACAACGCACCTGAATACGTAATGATAACCCACCTGAATACGTAATGACAACGCACCTGAATACGTAATGACAACCCACCTGAATACGTAATGACAACCCACCTGAATACGTAATGACAACCCACCTGAATACGTAATGACAACCCACCTGAATACGTAATGACAACGCACCTGAATACGTAATGACAACCCACCTGAATACGTAATGACAACCCACCTGAATACGTAATGACAACCCACCTGAATACGTAATGACAACCCACCTGAATACGTAATGACAACCCACCTGAATACGTAATGACAACGCACCTGAATACGTAATGACAACGCACCTGAATACGTAATGACAACGCACCTGAATACGTAATGACAACGCACCTGAATACGTAATGACAACCCACCTGAATACGTAATGACAACGCACCTGAATACGTAATGACAACCCACCCGAATACGTAATGACAACGCACCTGAATACGTAATGACAACCCACCTGAATATGTAATGACAACCCACCTGAATACGTAATGACAACCCACCTGAATACGTAATGACAACCCACCTGAATACGTAATGACAACGCACCTGAATACGTAATGACAACCCACCTGAATACGTAATGACAACCCACCTGAATACGTAATGACAACCCACCTGAATACGTAATGACAACCCACCTGAATACGTAAAATAGTTTTTTTTACTAAATAGTATAATATTTATAATGATTTAATTCGAAAACACTTAAAAAATTTAATTCGAATAAATCTAAGAAACCAACTTTAGATATGTCTGGATTCCATCTTCAAGTTATTTTTTAATTACAAATTGATCTTAAAACATTCAAAGTGATTTTTTCCTGAAATTTTTTAAAAGCATTAAACAATTCAAAAGGAAGATTTGTACACGCATTTCAGTACATTGATGTTGACTTCCTTTTCAAATCATATTTGGACATAAGCAAATATTACATTAAGTCAAACTAATTTCTTTGTTTTTTTCTTATGCGGGAATCTGGATCTAGTCATTGAACGAACTATGCATGTTTCAATAATTCTAGAGCTTACATATCTAGATAATTGGGCAAATTAAAATTAAATTAGGTTGAAACGTCAAAGACCAGTGATTTTTAAACGTAATTTATCTATGTCCTCTAGGAGAATCACAGTTGATTTGAATTATAAAGATTTTTAAAAAGTTTTTAGTAGATGCTTTAGTCACTAAAACTAATTGTTTGCTTTTTGGGAGCATGTCGCAGTTATGACTGAAACAACGCACCCTTCGATAAAGAAACAAAATAGGGCAAGGTTTAGGGTGATAAGGGTCAGATTTAATGTCACGGCTGGTCCGAATAGGGTTAAAAAAAATAAAAGTTGTACTAACTTGATAATTAACCGGAAACCTTTTTTTATCTGCGAAAGAGTACGTTGCAACAGACATACTTAGGGATCGTTCATAAAAAAAGTGCGCTCGGAGGGGGTTTGCGAATAGCATATATAAGATGAGGGGCAATGGGTCAATTTAAAAGTAAGGAGAAACTAAATTTTAAAAAATATCTTAAAACGTTGGGTAGGTTGTTTAAAAGCGTAGGCACTTTTAGAGAGGTGAAAGGTACTCAAAAGTGACAAAATGCGGGAAGGGTGAAAGGGAGGTCTAAATAAAAACGTACGTTCTTTATGGACGATCCCTTATTAGAGATGTATAACCTATGTTCAGACTCATTTGTGGCAAGCGCAAAAAAAACTTTTTTTGCATTTGTATAATTAAAAGAAATACGCAACTAATAGTTTTTTATTTTATTGAAAATACAACTAAGGAGAGCATTGCATTTGTATTTCCTGATTTCTAAGTGTATAGTTTTTTAAAAAAACGTTTCAAGCTTTATTAACATATTTTCTTGCACTCTGTGAGAACACGATAAAATTATTTGAGCCAAAACATTTCCTTATTTTGTCATATTTCGGATTTGTGATTCTTAAAACTTTTACTCAACTAATCAAATATTTCGACGATTCTTTTTACTTTTGAAACATCACTAGGGGAGGGGGGGTTGTAGATTACGACCATTATAAAACACTAGGAACTGCTGGACATAAAAACATTAAAACTAAGAACTTGTGTAGGAACATTCGGTCCGGAAAAAACTTAAAAAGCCTCACTTTCGTCTGATTTGCTACTGGGAAGATGGCAATTTCTTTAAAACAAATGACGATTATTTATTTAAATAATCGTATAATAATATATAATAAATCTGTCAAATATAATACAAATCTGTATGATCCTGCAAGTTTCGTTACTATAAAAAATTTTTACATTATAAGATTTTAAGTAATACATATGAAATTTATGTTACTGAATTTTGTTGTAAAAAATATATTATAGAATTAATCAGTAGTTAAAAAATCTGCGTATTTACAATTTTTGTTATGACCTAATTGCCGATACGTCAACTGCGATATATATATATATCAACTCCGTTGATATTATAATTTTGGTATTAATTGAAATGAGTTTCATAAAAATTCGTACCTGAAATTTCAACTAACAATTCTAATGAAATTATTGGTAGGCTTTATAAATTTCAACCAAATGACTTTCCTATTATAGTTAACTGTCTACCATTGCAGTTGGACTGGATATTTGCCTGTTAAACACGACATACAGTGACCATCCTGTTTAGAACTATTTTTTTTCACAGCACGTGTCAGGCCATCTAAAGAAAGATATACCAAACTATCTACACCCCAATACTTAGCCAATTCCATAGAGTTATAATCGTTTGCAATTAATTCTTCTTTGGTAGGAATGTTAATACCCATAAAACAAGGATGTTTTAAAGGCGGAGACGCAATTCGTATATGTATCTAAAGAATCAATTAAAATGAGGTTATTTTTTATTTATTTAATATATGTATTTTTTAGTACATATAATTATGTATTTAAATGTAATGTAATAAATGTATAAAGTGTAATAAAGATATGGTTAAATTATTAAAATTGTTTTTAAAAAAATCATAATAAAATAACAATTTATAAACAAAAAAATTTTTATTGAATATGAAATGAAAAAAGTTTAATTGAATACCTCTTTTGCGCCAGCATTTTTTAACATCTCGATAACGTGAGGCATTGTATTTCCACGAACTATAGAATCATCTATAAGTACAATACGATTTCCTTTAATGTTACTATTTAGAGTCCCAAACTTAGTTGTTATACCAAGTTTTCTGTCTGCAGAATTAGGTTGAATAAATGTCCTACCGATGTATCTATTTTTTATAAAAACGTCTTCATATGGTATTCCAGATTTCTCAGAGAATCCTCTTGCAGCTGGACCTGCAGAATCTGGAATAGTACTAACTACATCTGCTTCTACGGCACTTTCTAGTGCAAGTTGACGACCACACTCTTTGCGCACGGTATAGACTTCTTGTCCTTCGAAAAACGAATCAGGGCGTGCAAAATAAACATACTCAAATATACAAAATGCTGAATGAGAATCTTCTCTGTTTCTACCGACTATTCCTAAGGATTGAATTCCATCAGGACATATGCGAATAATTTCACCAGGGTTTACATCACGAATAAGGGCTGCACCTATAGAAGTAAATGCACAAGACTCGGATGAAACAATGTACATTGATAACTGTCTGCATACTTTCTTACTTTCACCGCATTCAATACTGGTATTTTTAGACAATTCTCCAATACATAGAGGCCTGTTACCGAATGGATCTCTAAAAGCAAATATTTCATTTTCAGAAGTCAACATAACACAAGAAAAAGAACATTCAGCGATCTGCATTAGATTGGTGATTCTTGAGACCCAGTCTACACCGTTTTGTTCACCGGGTGGTTCTTGAACTAAAAGCTGCGTTATAAGCTCACTATCTGATTCTGTAGATAAACCGATTCCTTGTTTTAACAAAGATTTTCGAATTTTACCTGCATTCACTAGTTCACCATTATGCGCCACAGCTATTTTGCCATAGTTAGAGTGAACAACAAAAGGCTGACAATTCAACACTAATGACTTTCCTGTTGTAGAATAACGATTATGACCAATGCCTATGTACCCTTTTTCATTTGGTGTTACATCAGCATAAACACTATCTACCAAACCCATCCCTTTCTTTACACTGAATTCTTTCCCATCACTTAATACCATACCAGAACTCTCCTGACCTCTTTAAAGAAAAAAAGATATAAAACAATTGGTTAAAAATTTACAATACGATTCTATAATATTAAATCATAGTTTATATATCTGCAAAAATTTATAATAAAATAACTGATTATTTTCAGTTACAAAAATTGTGAACTGTTTAGTATACTTGTCATCGGGTTAACTTTTTATTCAAAACAATGCAATATCTCATTGTTATATTCTTACTTATATACTATAAAAGTTATATTCTTATCAAACTGAAGTTAATAATATACGACTGAATCGATGTCATACTTTGATGCATTTAATTTTACCAGCCATCGGCTGGTAAAATAATTTTTTTTTTACTTATCTCAAAAGATCAGTAATATTTCAAGTTAAATAAGAACTATTTCTTACTTTAACGTCACTTTTTGAGGAGTTTACTAACAATAGAGAAAAACAAACTTTTCAGTTAAAAAACAAGTAAATTAAAGATCTAAAAATCTAAGGCAAAACAAAAAAAAAACTTTGCTAAAAAATTTAGAGTATTTAAAACTATAAAATGTTTTTTAAACATAAACTTTATTCTGGGGAGTTTAAAAACCAGTTCAACAAGCATATTGTTTGAATTTGTGGAACACCAGTACTAATCTTTACTGATGTCTTTCTAATAGCATATGTATTTAAAATGGTTAAATGAACTTAGTGCATAGTAATCACTTAACAATTAATTTAGTGCATTATATGTCTAACTAAGATCAGACAAAAATGAAAGATAATTCCATTTTAATTTTGAAAACCTTTTTGAATAATTTTGCTAAAAATAATTAACAAATTTCAGCCAACCAGAAACCCCCCTTTCCCCAGTAAAAACCTCAGCATATTTTGAAAACTGTATATTTACAAAGTGCTTTCAGAAAATTAGATGTGTAAAAATTGTGTTGCATTAACTTATTTAAAATCATAATCATAAAATAAAAACTAAGGAAGATATTGAATTAATTTTTGATTCATTTACGATAAAAATTGGCATACTAAAATATAAATTAATATATAAAAACGTTATTGAACATAATAATTAACAAAACAAATAAGTCTAAACTAGTATTCAAAATAATTTTTTGCAAGCTTATCTTTTTTGCAAAAAGCTACACATCTTTTTTAAATCAATTTAATTTCAATAATCAAACTTCGCTTTGAAATATTTTCTATGTTCTTCTTTTAGTTCATCTAGTTCTTCTTTTAGTCCATTCAAGCTCAAATAGATTAAATTGGATTTAAATCTAGTAATTGAGTTGGCCAATCAAATCTAGTAATTGAGCTGGCTAATCTACTGTTTTCTTTCATACTTGCTTTGACTATACAAGTTGTATTGACAGACGCCACATCTTACTGAAACTGCAAATTTTGATCAGCAAACATGTTTACAATTCAGTTTTCTAGCGACTCTTTTTAATATCTTTTTTTTTTTTTTTTTTTTTTTTTTTTAACATCTTTGCTTCCAACAAGGCTGCAAGCAACCACTAATTAGTGTTGGAAGTTACTGGAAGAGAAAAGATGAAGATTGTTAAGCAAGATAACGATTGACAGACGACTTAAAAGATTGCAAATTATATGAATCAGGAAAGCAAGATGAAGGAAGCAAATTCCAAAGAACTGATGCTTGAGGAAAAAAACTAGACAAATAAGAGTTTTTGGAGCACTTAGGAACAGTAACAGAAAAAGGATGAGACTTTATTGAATGACGAGTAACACAAGAATGAATTAATATATATGTAACACAAGAATGAAATAGTATTTGTAGAAAAGAGAAAGAGAAGCGACATTACGACAATGTGACAGAGGTTTAAGGTTGGCTGCAAGAGCAGGTCCAACTATGTTTACAATGCATTTTTGCACCTTGTCTAAAAGAGAAAGGGCATCATTAGAAGATCCAACCAAAATGGCAACAGTATTCCATACAAGGCTGGATTTGAGATTTATAGAGATAGAGAGTAGAATCCAGATTAAGAAAGTGGCGAGCTCGATAAAGAGAAGTGACTTTAGCAGATGCTAATTTTGCAATAGATTTGAAAAGATCAGAAGTAAGAGTTAATCCTAGAAGATGAAGGGTAGGAGACTCATCGAGTACATTACCCTTCATAAATATTGGAAGGTCTATATTATTGCGATAACGATTGGCTGAAAAAAAATTGAGTTTTATCTGAATTAAAGTTCACTGTGAGCCCCATGCTGTAGCAGAAGTGAGATCCTTTTCAAGCTCAGATGCCCCCTGCAAGCAATCAGAGGGAGTTGGCTTCTTATCGTGACAAGAATAAATGGTAGTATCATCAGCGAACAATGCCACCTTAGATGTGAGAAAATCTGGAAGATCGTTAATGTAAATTAAAAAAAGTATAGGGCCAAGGAATGAACCTTGAGGAACCCCTGAAGTTACAGGATGTGAAGAAGAGTGTTGTCCATCGAGGACAACTTTTATACTACGATTGGAAAGAAAGGACTCAATAATCATAAAGACGTTACCAGCTACACCATAAGAAGAAAGCTTATGGAGAAGACCAGCATGCCAAACTTTATCAAAAGCTTTAGAAATGTCAAGAGCAATGGCCTTAACCCCTCCACCTTTATCTAATGCGCGATAAAACCTATCGGTTATTACTGTTAGCAAATCAGCCGTAGAACGAGAAGATCGAAATCCATATTGATGATCAGAAAATAGGTTATGGGATTCGAGATGAGAGATTAAGTGTTTGTTAATTAAAGATTCAAAAACTCTTTCTTTAAACCAACTTAATCTTTCCTAATTAAAATGTTTTAAACTGTATTAAACTGAAGAAAGTAATTTTTTATTGTTTTTGTTGAATGTGTTTGTAAGCATTACAGACACTCAACAAAATTATATAAAATATTTAAGAAGCAATGTAATATGAACTTGTAATTGATATGTTAATAGTATATATATAAAAGCATTTATTTTAAATAATATAAGTTTATTAAAATAGAATAAATAGTAATGGTAGTTTTGTGGTTTTCTGTCAGAATATAATAATAATAATTATTTTATTTCACTGTTTACATATTAGTCTATTTTTTGTCATTTTTATTAAAAAATATTTTTGTTATATTTTATGCTATACGTTTATCTTATATGTATATATATATATATATATATATATATATATATATATATATATATATATATATATATATATATATATATATATATATATATACCCTTATAGTGTAGTCGAAAGAGCGTTTTAATGTAAAAAAAGTCTCTTACGACTACAATTTTAATTACCTCGTCTCTTAAGCTGTTTTTGATTGTCATCAAAATGTCAAAGCAATTAATTTATGCGGAAGTACATTAAATTTAATTGTTTTTTTAAAAAACCGCAATTATAACGACTAGAAAGTTTTTTTTAATTAGTGGTGTTTTTGTTATTGATTTAATAAAAAACATTTTTAAAACATGCGTAAATGTTGCTACATCGACTATCTTATAGCCTGACTCGCAATGGAGTGCTGCTACATCGACTGACAAATAGCCTGACTCGCAACGGAGTGCTGCTACATCGACTGACAAATAGCCTGACTCGCAAGGGAATGCTGCTACATCGACTGACAAATAGCCTGACTCGCAAGGGAGTGCTGCTACAACGACTGACAAATAGCCTGACTCGCAAGAGAGTGCTGCTACATCGACTGAGGGTTTGGTTTGGCCAGGCAGTCTATCAATTAAAAAAAAAAATTTAATTTTTAAATTTTCAAAACTTTTTCTGGTCTGGTTTATTAACGCGCTCTTTAAAACAACTGTTTATGGGAAATTTTTTTTGATGCTACGCAAGAGACATGCAAGAGTATATATATATATATATATATATATATATATATATATATATATATATATATATATATATATATATATATATATATATATATAACTTTATTTATAATTTGTATTATTATTTGGTATTGAACTCACATCTTTCACTATCCATGTTATTTCTTCAAAAACTAGTGCTTTACAAATTTGCATGAAGTTAGGGTTTGTCTGTTTGTAGTGAAGTCCTTTTTTACTGGAGTATGGAATTGGTGTAAATTGCAAGGTAAAACATGCCATATTGCGAGTATGTATAACTGAGGGGATAAACTAGGTATTGGTGCTGAGCCTCTTCGAACGCTGGTAATAATAAATGCAATTCTGAGGAGAAGTTTATTACCACCACTACATAAAATATGATTACACAAAAGCAATATTTTTTTCTTTAAATTTATTCCTTTTAAATAGTGCTACACCTATGCATATGCATAGATATAGCACTATTTAAAATAAATAAATTTAATCTATGCATATGTATAGATATAGCACTATTTAAAATGAATAAATTTAAAATTTATTTTATTTGTTTTAAAGTTAAAAACTTTATTTAATGAAGATTTATGTTTACTTATATACCCTGTTTTATTTTTATTTTAACAATAAAATTATTGTTGATTGATTGATTGTGCATAAACTTTTTCTTTTTAAAATAAATGTTTAACAAAATATTTAAAAAGCAATGTAATATGAACTTGTTATTGATATGTTAATAGTAGAGAATAAGTTTTCGTGGTTAAAAAACTCAAGTCTAAAGCATATATGGTTACTTTTTTTAAATTAAAAAAAAATTAACTAAATATTTTGCTGCGCCTATTTTGTAGAAAGCACTGTATGTATGTATGTATGTATGTATGTATGTATATATATATATATATATATAAATATATATATATATATATATATATATATATATATATATATATATATATATATATATATATATATATATATATATATATATATATATATATATATATATATACTAAGGTGATTCAAAAACAACATTTTTTAAAAATGTCTGCTGGCACCTCCTAAATGTATTCTATATAATATAATAATACTAGATTTAAAAATTTTTTGAATAAAAAATATTTTTAGGGGTTGCTATGGACCCTAAAATATTAAATGGGTCCCCAGTATCATCAAAAAAAAGT